TTCAAGGCCAACAACCACATTGCCTTGTTGGATATTCCCTCTTCAAAGGCGGACTACCAAGAAGCGGCCGACTTCTTCAAATAGTCATTGCTCGGCTTCGCACTCAACCATGAACCCATCATGGTGAAAGAATTCCTCCAGCAGTTCTGGTTCACTGCTAAGGTCATCGATGTCGAGGTCAAGCCTGGACGTCAAGTTGAACAGGTCAACTTCACCTTCAATCGCATGGAAGTGAAGTTTGGCGTGAACACCTTAAAGACGGCTCTTCGCCTTCCCAAAGGCCCCTACGACAGTGAACCCACAACAGCCAAGATCATCAAGTATCTCGACGCCATTGGCTATCAATGGCCAATGAAGAAGGACTCAAATGCTCCCATGAAGTCTTTGTCGAAGATCGAGAAGAACAAGATGTCAGCTGTCTGGCAATACCTGTTCTCTCACTTCATCCAGTGCATGGGTGGAAAGACTGGAGGCCAGAACCAGACCTCTAGGATCGCTTTAACCATAGGCGTATCTACGATTCAACGTTGCAATATAAATCATGTTGTGGTCATTTTCGAAGACCTGGTGCTCAAGCTGAACAAGTGCCAGTGAGAAAAGATGGTGCCTTACACCAGGTTCCTTTCGATGGTCTTTGCGAAGATTTTTGGAGATCATTACTCCACGAAAGGCAACCTTCAGGTTTCCAAGCTTGGATCCAGGATTCTGGATCATAAGCCGACGGACAGTGATGTGGCACTAACTTCTATTGTGTCCATCACTACCTCTTCTCCTTAGGTGGCCAGGACAAGGTTAAACCCCCCGAGTCTAGCCCAGCCACCAAAACCTCCTCTCAACCAACTCTTAGTTCTCCTCAGAGAGCCAAGAAGGCCAAAAAGGGGATAACCACGTCTCTGGCTGAAGCCTCTCGACAAGTTTCAGCTATTGAAACTAGCCTTACCCCCGAGGCGTCTTTAGCTAACCCTCCTAGCTCTTCAGTGATTTCTCCCATCACTGTTGTATCTGTTGCACCTACCCTAACCGCCTCAGTGACCCAAATCACTGAAGGTGTGAATATCAGCGCCGCCACCGCTGAACACCCACGTCTCTTCTCAACCATTTTCTCTTCTCCTTCTTCTTTGGTCTTTACAGTGTCGATGATGTATCAGCGACTGTCCTCCCTGATACTGAGACACACACCACTGGACCTGAGGTTGCTCCTCTCGATGCTCCTCATCATACATATGTCCATCCTCTCGACGACATCTTTGTTTACGCCAGTGACAATCCTTTGGATGTCATTGATGACCCCTCAGGTATTCCATCTTCCTACCCTTCCATTTCTACTAACCTCGAGCCTTTTATTGCTCACACTTCTTGTCTTGTAGGTCCTTCTTCTACGCATCAACCAGATACTGAAGAAGAGGAAGAGGACGGGGGTGAGAAAGAAGATGGAGGGGATGAAGAGATTGATGATGACTATAATATGGCATCTGACGTCAAACTTTTCCTCCCAGCCATTGATTCAGTTCTCTGCAGGAAACTGAAGTTCACCAGCAGATGCCCCGCCAGGATGAACTTGATGTGAACCTCTCAGCTATCCAAGCAGACGTTCAAGAAGTTCAGAGTCACCTTCTGACTCTCCAAGAAGCTGTTCGAGCCAACACTAACGCCATTGTTGTTCTCTCCAGCAGGGCTGATGATGTTCAGGCTCTCGCCCATCAGCAGACGAGACTTCTTCAGCAGATCCTGTATGTTGTCCGTCAACCAACTCCAGTGATCCCACCTTCTTTCTCTGCCAATGATCGCGCTCAGCTCAATGAGACGCTTGAGGCAACGACAACTCTAGCCAGTGCTCTGTCAAGGCTATAGGATATGATGGTTCTCCAACATCAGCGCTTGGACGAACTCTCTAGACTATACTCTCAAGTCTTAGCCAGAGAGGGGGAGATGAGGTCCAACGCTGCTGGACCATCTGATGCTGCTGCTGCTCCTGATCCTGCTGCTGCTCCAGCATCTGGTTCTGGCCTCCTAGAGCTGAAGCGGTTGCTGCTCCTGTAATCATGACCACCAAAGCTGTTTCAGCTGAGGTAGTCCATGCCATCCCTAGGGATGATGCTCCTTCCATCACCGTTGCTGCTGGTGATGATGATGATGAAGACAAAGATGTGATGATGAAGATGATGAACCTACCATCCCAGACCCCGGAAGTGACCTAGATGGTGACGATGACGATGACGATGATGATGAAAATCACTTTACCATCAAGTATCAGAAGCCAACAACCGCCACCAAGGGAGTCACCCTCAGGGATTCTGCATCCTAGGGGAAGCAAAGAGAAGGAGAGTCTGCTCCATCAAGGAACCAGGACCCCAAGTTGAAAGGCAAGACAGTTGTTGAAGAAGGGAACTAGAAGGTATTGTTCAATATCCCTCAACAACCCTTATTTGAATATTCTACCTCTCAGGTAGTAATCACTTCAAAATATCAACTTCAAATTCCATCAACCACCTGTGGTCGACTGGAGTGGGTCCTTGATCACCTTGTCTCTAGTGCTCCCACCGACCAGCAGATGACTCAACTAAAGGAGTCACTCGACCAGACTAGAGTAAAAATTCCTCTTCATACCTCTAGTGGTGGTGAGTTCGACTTCCTTTCTGAAGCTGAAAGACTCGAGGCATTACAGGCTGAAGAAGAGCTAGAGCTTCAGAAGAAGCAGACTGAAGACAGCTTAAAGCTAGCCAAGTCACTAGCTGCGAAGATTCTCCCCAAGAGAAAGTCCAAGAAAAAGGTGAACGTTGTCCAAGCCCAGGCTAAACTTCTTTCTATTGCAGAAACTGAGCATGAGAAGAACCTGAAGCTGGTGGAAAAGGACAAGCGATGTAGCGAAGCAAAGCTGAAGAAGAGAATCAGTCCCCGCCCGATGATCAACGTCAACATCAGCGGACGTTCAAAAGATGGTGGAACACTGGTCTTAATGCTCATCACCAGGGACATCTCGATGCCATCACCGAGTACCCTTCCTACCTTGGCCGATATGGATATAGCGAATGGATGGAGATCAGTCAAGCCATTCAGCGATCGAAGTTAAGACATAAGGCGATTAACGAGGACACCATCAGCGATCTCATTAAAGGGATGTCCAGGTATGTCGCAGTCCCTGACAAGCCTTCTCTGAAGAAAGGTGGGAAGAAGAAACTCAAGCTCTCTGATCCTAATGATGGACCATTCCTAAGGAATGAACATGAAACAAGGTTCTACTTAGATGAAGTCCTGAAAGGTCATTAGAGTATACACATTTCTATGTTGAATCTTGACTTGCCAGATAAGGGTCCCTATACACCCAATGTTGTGCATTTTAAACCTGAGTTAGGAGTTATATTCCTTGACTATGAAGGTGAAGTCAGATTTCAGAGAATGTCAGAGCTACATCTATGTCCAATGGGTCATCTAGTTTACCTCTTGCTCTGGATAAATGATAGCATGCCTGGAAAAGTCGTAGATATGAAGATACGAAGGGAATGCCTACGTCGAAGAAACCTTGGTGAAGATGTACCTAGCTACATAGATCTAAGTGTTCTAAAATAGTTTCTCTTTGTAATAACAATCCACTTTTCCTTGTAAATTTATTGTACTATGTCTACTTTCATTGATTAATCTTATAGTCTGTAAGCATTAGACATGTACTGAACTGCTTGTAATATTACCAATGATAATAAAATGAGTATTTCATGTACTTCACTGAAAAATATGTATTGCAGGAACAACATAATATAACGATAGTAAAGGAAAAGATTAATTATGATTTGTTTCCCTATATGCATAGCTATGTGAAGATCAATATGTGGATCTGTTTTGGAAGTTAAATGTTATGTAGTACAAGAACATGTATTTTGAAATTTTTGGGTTGTGTATTTTGTAATATATGTTTCTTGTACTTTGGACATTTGTGGGATTAAACATGTATTTCTTTGAATGAATTATATGTTATATGCAATGTGAGTTAAGGGGTGCTACATCAAGTCCGTGTAATGCATAATTCAAACTTGAACCTGTTGTGTATTTGAGTAAAGTCGCTTTGTTCTTTTGCCAATTGAGCTACACGCCCAAAGGCAAGTAAAACATAAAAATAATATCTACATAGTATGGTATGAACATCTCATAATTAGTCAAACTCACTGCTATTGGTAGACCGACCATATATATCATAAGCATAAAGAAGACCATATCATGAGAATAAGGAAGGATAGGCTTAACCATCTAACTTTTTAACCTAGTTATATGTCTTTGAAAGCCTATTCAAGGACCTAACCTTCTTTCTTCAAGTGTTTAATGACTTTCAAAGGTTGACCAAACCACCTTTTAACTTCATGTTTGGGCCATCCTTAGCTTTCAAGCATGACATGAACTCAATCTAATCTGTTTCGGATAATCTGATTCTATTTTCATGCCACTTTTCACTAGACCAACAACCATGTTGGACAAACAATCTCATGGAAATGAGCCAAACATATCGTTTGAGAATCACTCACACGAAATCTATGATCCGTCGGTTACTAAAACTAGTTCAATAAACTTACCTTACACCTACCTAGGTATTCGTATTGTTTTTCTTAACACAATCGTTTCGGGCCTAATTGGGTTTTGGCCCAAAGTTCATGGGTTTGTTTGACAGGGCCTAATTGGGTTTTGGCCCAAAGTTCATGGGCTTGTTTGACCTTTGAGACAAGTACATAATTTCTTTGTTTTAGGTTTTTAGTCTTGGATCATTCTAGAATTTATTATTTTTAGATACAGATTTTACTATTGTCAAAGAAAGGTACAACTATATAATGCATATTTTACAACCACAAATGATTCCAATTTCTAAAACTATACATGGTTGGATCATAAAGTCAGAAAATTTGGGGGAGGAAACGAAAATATTTCAGAGCCAAACCAAAAACCCTCAAATTTTCATTACTTCCCTTCCCGCTACTCCGCTCTCTCCCCCCAATATTTTGTCGCCCTCCCTTCTGTAAGTGTTCTACTCTATATGAAACCACCTTTTTTTTTAATGGATTTGTTTGAAGGTTACTTTTACGTACATGTTTATCACATAAATCTGATTTCAGCCTTTTTCCCTCCCTCTTTTGGTAATATTTGCGCAATTTCCTTTTTAAAATGTGGGGGTTTTCATTTACATTCATATACGTTTTTGATTTTGATACTTTTTTTGGTTGGTGCTTAAAATTGGGGTTATGTATCTGACTTAGTATTACTTCTAAGCTTTGGATTATGCTGGAGGATATTATTTTTATTCGTTTGTATTTATTTTTGCTAAGATTACAGGGATGATCATTCAAACTGGGTTTAGATGTTCATGTTTTCGATAGGGTTGACTTAATAACTTATGTTTGATGGCTGAGTCGTTATGTTGTTTTAACTAATGAGATTATTGCGTCTTAATGGATTTATGTTCTGCAACTTGCAACATGTGATGTGGAAATTTGTTTTTGTGAGCACGATATTACTGTGACTATATTCATTTATTGTCCGTGTTGGCTTCAGATATTTGGTAAGCTAAATGAATAAATTCGCCTGGAACTTATCCTATCTTGTTGCATTAATCATAATTTTAATTGATTCTAATCTGTATCTGGGATTCTATCTGTTAGAATATGTGGAACCCATTACTCTTCAAAAGAACCCTTGTGGAGATAATGGAGGTTTCAACATATATCGAGAAAAATGGTCCAATCTAGCCTATGTAGGACTCCAGCACGTCTTCTCTAATGGAGGCTGGATGGGCACAAATTGAGGCAGAGTGTTAACTGTTAAGAGGGGGATAGACATGCATGGATTGTCCTAGAGTCTCGGGAAGGGGGCTAGATGAGCATTTATTGTCCCTTAGTGTTGGGTCTCCCTAGAGTGGTAGACCTTGAATGTTGAGCCAGAGTGGTAGACCTTCTAATACCATGTGAGAATATATGGAACCCTATTAGATTACTCTCCAATAGAGTTCTTAAGGAGAGAAGGGAGGTTCCAACATAGAGTGAGGAGAAATTGTCAAAATCTAGGTAATGTGGGACTCCAACACTATCCTTTGTTGCTTTGATTAATCCATCTATCTCTCATATAGATGAGGAAAATCCTACACAGGTCAGTTGCTGATAGTAATATTTTTACGGATCTCTAATCTCTGATTTCCATGAATGTTTGTTATATTGCTTATGTATGCACCCATTATCAGAACTGTCAATGTTCTAATATTTATACTTCGTGAGGGATCAGTAATTATTCATAAAGTCTTTTGCTCGAATAATAGTGATATATGTCACTATGGCCCAACTTCTTCATAGGGTCATGCAAACTTCCCCTTTCACTTGGTCCAGGCAAACTAAAGGGTTTTCAACAAGCGGGCATGAGTTTTAAGGAGTTAATAGGACCTGCTGGAATTCAAACACGAGACCTAATGCTTCATGAGGCACAAAGTCTTGGTGAATTACTGCTAGGCCAACCCCTTGGTATTTGTATTCATAAACTTACATGGAACCTGTTGTAAAATTCATCAACTCATATTAAAACATAGCTTATAGTTTTTAAATATGTCTTTAGGTGCACTAGTCTCAGTCATATGCCTCTGTTTTAGTCATGTAGAAAGAAAATTTCTAACTTGTGTAAAATTGAGAGTTGATTGCAGTAAAGAAATTGTGGAACATGGGTGGGTTCATGGCCCTCCCCATCCTTGCTAAGCTACTATGTTTTTGGTCTTTAACATATATGTTTATTCTTTATTGCCTCTTAGCTATGCCTACTAGCTGTCTACAAAGCCCTATTTAGTTTTTCCCTCCTCAACAGATGCCCAATGTATGCTATTCCTCTTTTGATGATTAGTAGATCAAGAAATATGCATCTATAGATACGTGTCTATATGCTCAAGTGTAACCCCATTGATGGATAAATCACTTGCCCTCTTCTTTTCCCGTGAACATTTCCTTGGAGAATGGAAGATATCTTACCTTTTACTATAACTCGGTATGTTGTGGGGTACTTCCTTTTACAGGCTAATGACTTTTTGGAAATTATAAGAAGGTATAGATACACTATAATCTGTTGGCCAATACGTTTAACTCTGTTTCTCAGATGCTATCAGGTGTGGAGATAGGGGATTCCCTGCTTTGCTCGGTAACGGGGGTGTATTTTCATACCCAAAGCAGGGTTGGGGATGGCACTGCCCGCTCCTAATCTGACCCGATGAAATTTATTATTTTTATTTAATATATGTATATATGTTTGTGTGTTTATATAAATGAATATATGTATTTATGTATATATGTATATATGTTTACATTTATTATTAAATGACACATATATTTTATTTTCAATATTGGTAATTAATGTAGTGAGTAGTGACGATTTATTATAATTTTTAATTTTAAAAAGCAATGTTGTTATTGTTTTCTATTAAACGGGTACCCAACGGGGTCCCTGAACTGGCCGGGGATTAGCCGGGGATGGGGGCTTAAAAAGGGATTGGGATCGGGGACGGGGGATGCATTATCTGTCAATACTCACCTGCTTTCCATCCCTAGTCAGGTGGGATTTTCTAGTATCATTCTTCAGTCAGAAACTTGTTTATAGGTTGGAATGGATGCTAACCCTGGATTATTCTCTTTTTTTGTGTTTTAGATTGAAAGTTAAAGTGAATTGTCTTGGAGGAGGGAAAGCAGAAGATTTTATTTTCTTTGTTAAACTTGTAATGAGCAGTTGCAGATGAAAACCATAGGGTTTTCCCTTTCAGACATTCTTATAAATGGAGGTTTCTGAGTAGTTTATATTTTGAATCATTGTGGTAATGGAGTGTAACAAAGATGAAGCCATCAGGGCCAAGGAAATTGCAGAGAGTAAGATGATGAACAATGATTTTGAAGGGGCTCGGAAAATTGCTCTCAAGGCCAGAAGGCTCTTTCCAGAACTAGAAAACATTTCCCAGCTGCTAACAGTTTGTGATGTTCATTGTTCAGCTCAAAAAAAGATGTATGATGCTGAAATGGACCTTTATGGAATTCTTCAAGTCGAAAGCTTAGCTGATGAGGTTACCATCAGGAAGCAATACCGAAAACTTGCGCTTGTACTTCATCCTGACAAGAACAAATTTCCTGGTGCTGAAGCTGCTTTTAAACTCGTTGGTCAAGCAAATATGGTACTCTCTGATAAAGGGAAAAGGTATTTACATGACGTTAAATGTAGACAGCCTGCAATACCTTCTATATCCAAGCAACAAACTTATCAAAATTCTCATATTGGGGCTCAGAGGAAGTACCATAATGTTTCTAGTTCTCAGTTCGCTGGTGTAAACCATCACCAACAGTCACACTCGGATTCAAATGGCCGACCATCATTCTGCACGTATTGTTCTTCGTGTAAGAATAAGTATGAGTATTATAGAGATATGGTAAACAAACGTCTGCGGTGTCCACAATGCTCAAAGTTATTTACTGCTTATGATATGAGTGCCCATTGGTCAGCCACAAAGCCCGGCTCTGGTAACGCTGGTACGCAAAATGTGAACCCAGATGGTCGACCTGCCTCTTTTCAACAGGAAAATCCCAAGTTTGATGCACAAAAGCCTGGACAGACCTTTTCTAATTTTGCATATCAACCTTGCTCAAGTACAGGAGTCCAGTTCACTCGATCTACAACTACCAAAGATGCCAAAAATGACAGTGGTTTGAGGACTAAAATGGAAGGAAATGATAATATAAACACAGAATCGGTTGCAAATGCTAAAAAGAAGCCGAGGGAAGCAAGAATCTCTAAAGACACAAACAGGAACAAAAATGGTTCTGATGTAGAAAATGCATCTAAAGGAACTGGTGGCAATCCTAGTGCTGTACCTGATTCAAATGGCAGAAGATCTCGCAAAAGGGTGCAGGTTTCTGATAGTGAAAAGGCAGGTGATGATTTCAGTCCCCGAAAAAGATCTAGGCTGAGGAAGTTATCTAGTGATGTTGAAGATAAACAAAAGGAACAAGTCCCGAAGGATATAAATGTACCAAAACCAAGTGCTGATGCTGAAGGAAGCATGCCAAAAGATAAGACGGAAGATGTTATGCCGAATGGTGATTCTAAATCTAATTTGGACTCCGAAGGAATCTCGGAACCAATTGTCATTCACTGTCGGGATCTAGAGTTTGGCAATTTTGACAAGGATAAAGAGAGCTTTGCAGTTGATCAAATCTGGGCTTGTTATGATTCAGTTGATGGCATGCCAAGATTCTATGCCCAGATCAGGAAAGTTTATTCAGCTGGGGGGTTCAGGCTACGGATTACTTGGTTGGAAGCTGATCCTGAGAACCATCTAGAAGTGATTTGGGCAAATGAAGGCTTACCTGTTGCTTGCGGTAAATTTGTGCGTGGGGATACGGAGGAAACACGAGACCATCTCATGTTTTCTCATCAGATAGCATATGAGAAAGGCGATGGAAGGTATACTTATGTCATTTATCCTAAAAAGGGTGAAGTTTGGGCTCTTTTCAGGGACTGGGATATTAACTGGAGCTCTGACCCCAAAAAGCATATGAAATATCAATTCGAGATTGTTGAGGTTCTTTCTGAGTTCGACAACGATAATGGTGTTCTCGTTGCTTACATGGTAAAAGTGGAAGGTTTTGTGAGTTTGTTTCAGAAAACAAGCCGGGCACGGCTTGCTGAACATCGGATTCCTTCCAGTGAACTCTTTAGATTTTCTCACTGTATACCGTCAGTAAAATTGACTGGCACAGAAAGAGAAGATGTCCCCGTTGGATCTTGTGAGCTTGATACTGCTTCTCTACCAGATGATCTTGACAACTATTATATTTCTAACAAGACCAAGGTGAATTCTGAAACTAAAGCTTCTTGCCCTCAATCACCTGAAGCAAAAGTGAAACCTACATCTGCTGGCACTCCAAAGAAGTCTGTAAATCCTCGAGAATGTAGTGAGTTGGATAGAGAGATGCTTAATCCTCGTAGATCGCCTAGAGGGGTAAAGGGAGGAGATAAGAACCATGATCAAGTGATCATTCACGAACGTAATGTGGATCAGTCGAATAAAATCCCAATCCCTCAACTTTCTTCAGATTCACTTGGAAAAGAACCAAAGTTAGTTATTCATGATTTCAATGTGGAAAAGCAGGATTGGAAGTTTCAGGAGGGTCAGATATGGGCTCTTTGCAGAAGCAACGATAGACATCCTGGACGCTATGCACAAATTAAAAAGATCGAGTCCTCCCCCCTTAGGTTGCATGTTGACCTACTTGAATCATGCACCCAATTTAACGCCAATGGGCCAGATGCCTGTGGCTTATTTAAAGCTTCTATTGGTAGAAGAGAAGTATTTTCGCAGGATGCGTTTTTGTATCTTGTTAAAGCCGAATTAAATGGTAAGAACAGATTTAACATATATCCGAAGGAAAAAGAGATCTGGGTTTTATACGATAAGCCGGATTTCAAGTGCACCTCTGATTTTGATGCTGGTGAATGCAACATTGTGGAAGTTGTTGAGAATAATGGACATATCATAAAAGTTTTGCCTCTCTCACGTGTGCCTGGTTACAAGTCGGTTTTTAGGGGTCTTGAGATGCAAAACTCCAAGGCCACGGTTCTGGAGATACAACAAGACGAGTTTAGCAGATTCTCTTCTCGGGTTCCAGCTTTTCTTTTAACGGAGGAGCAAGATGGTCGCTTGAAAGGCTCTTGGGAGCTTGATCTTGCACAAGTTCCAGGTAATTGACTATCCATATATATATATATATATGCATATACATATAGACGAAGGATCGTGTGAGATAGGAGTTAGGTGAGAAGTGTAAGAAGGGATTTGGGCCTTTGATCACTTTTAATCTCAAACCAGTTCATGAATTGCGCTTTAGAAGGGAATTGATCCGGTGTATCTCATTATATATTGATCTAGTGTTTCTCTTCGATTAGGATTGATCCAAGGGTGGAGATTCCTTCACCATAATTTTCATTCTCACAATCTCACTAGAACCCAACCCTATATATATATATATATATATATATATATATATATATTATCCACATGTATACTTACATATATACACACATTATGTATATGTATAGGATCCAAATCTATCCTCAAACATGCCAGCTCTTCAAAAAGCTTTGGGGAACTTTTGGTCACACCGATATTATGAACCACTTTTATGGATCTTTTTTCTTATTTAGGGGCTGTTTACTAAAGGCTAATCAGTTACCAGGTCATTTAGTTATTGGGGTGAGCATGACAAAGACCAAGAATCTTACCCGGTAAATGAGGTTTGGTGACTCTTAACTGGTTATCATTTACTTGGTAAGAGACGCTTACGAACAATCTTACTATGCCATTTTGATGGCTTAGGACCTTACCATGTAAGGTAAATGAAGGTGGTGACTCTTATCTGGTGAACGCTTACCTAGTTAGCATTGGTAAACATCCCCTTGGTAAAAAGATTGTTTTTGTGGAAAATTTCTGGCGGTTTTTACAGAATCAATCTCTACCTTTTGGGGTAGCGAAATAGTCTCGCTTCATCAAACCCTCCCTAAACCCTACCTTTGTGTGAGATTTATTAGGTTTGTTTTGTTTTTGGGCAAAATACATCAAAATGCAATGAAGTTTGCTTTAGTTTCTATTTAGTGTACAATTATTTTTTCTCGGTCAATGTAACAAAGTTTCAAAGTTTTCTATTCAACGGAACTTGGTTTCAAAATTTTCTATATTTACTCATTTTGACTGGTAACTTACCGGTCTTGTAACATTTAATGACATGGATATCAAGTTTATCTTTTACTTCGCTGTAGCTTTCTTATACATTTCCTAAACCTGGTATCTATGTTATCAGATGTTACAAGACCAGGACGGTCAAAATAGATAGAAAATCGGAAAATTTTAAACTGTTACATCGGTTGAGGAAAAAAAAAGAATTATTCGTTACAATAAATAAGAACTAAACCGGAGTTTGTTGCATTGGTTTGGATTATTGTGAACTGACAAAAAGCATGTTGGACATCCAGGTCTGTTCCCAAGCTAAGCAAAACATGTTGCTTTTGAAGAGATGAAAAAAGAAGTGAAGATGTGCAAAAGTTTTGGTTCTAGATATAAATTTCTGTCTTGTATCTTTAAATGCTCATTGGCAGATAATGTGAATGTGAGTATGTACTTGCAACCTTGGTAAATTGGAACATCTCTTGGATCAAACTTAATACTTGGCTTTGCTGATTAGAAAGGGATGAAACGAGAGGTCGATAAGCTTACGAGTAATGTGAACTCGGCCAATGTGGTTTACAACACGTCCTAGGTCGTGGGACAAAAAGTTGTCTTGTTCTGTACTGATTGATGCTACAAAATGCTGCTTTACCTTAAATGGGTTTTTAATTAAATTCATGACTTTCTGTTCTATTAAAGAGAGAATGACTTTGTGCTCATGAGAAGGTTCATGGATTTAAAATCTCATTTAAGGTTATATAACCTAAAACTCCTTGTAGCAGAGGCAACTGGTCAATGTGACCAAGGTTGTGTAAATGTCGTGTCCCCAAGGGTGGGTCAATGCAACCCTTCTGGACATGTTATAAATTACATGTTATTTGATTGTTTTTGCATTTTTTTTATAGATTAACCGTATTTTTGTTTTAACCCTGCCCCTTGATGACTATGAGGAATGACTTTAGATTGGAACTTACTAAACAAGAAATGTTACGATTTTTCTGGGATTGAAAGTAGAAATACCAACTACTTATTGGATCTGCCAGGGAGTCTTTTGGTCTTGAGATGAAACAACGGTTTTACTCTTTTAGGATAGATGTCAGGTCAAGGAAGGTTCAAACAAAAACATGATGAAAATATGAGAAGGTTTATATCATATGTAATTTTATACTAAAAGTCTCATATGATTTATGAATGGTCAAATCTCTAAGGTCAATTGGCCAAAGCATGGACATGCTTTTGGGTGGACTGTTTCTTTACTAGATAGTAATATTTAGTTAAACATCACATGTTAGACATGTTTTTTTGTGCTCTTATTTTCACCATGTTCCTATCTGAATCTAACTTAGGGGCTGTTTACTAATCTCTTACCACCTCTTATCCGTTAAGAGATGCTTACCCGGGTAAGAGGTAAAAGTGTTTACCTAACAACAAAATCAACAATCAGATTTTCGACCTCTGACCGTCTTTTTACTGGAGTCAACAAAAAAAATGAATCTTACCATGGTAAGAGGTATGTATTCCTAATCTACCCTCTTCATCTAAAACCCTAAATAAATGCATATTTCTTCATACAAACAGTTCATACAAACAGGTGGGTCATTTGATTCGAGGTGGGGAGGCGTATGTCCGGTTCAAGGTGTTGAAGGGTGACGGGAGGGCGGCGACAGGAGGGCGGCGACGGGAGGAAGAAGACGGAAGGGCGGCGACGGGAGGAAGGCGACGGAAGGGCGGCGACGGGAGGGCAGCGACTGGAGGGCGGCGACGGGAGGGCGGCGACGGGAGGGAGGCGACGGGAGGGCGGCGACGGGAGGGNACGGGAGGGAGGCGACGGGAGGGCGGCGACGGGAGGGAGGCGACGGAAGGGCGGCGACGGGAGGGCGGCAACGGCGGCCGGCGACGGTGGCTGGTCTGGAGGTGGGAGAGAAAATAAGGGAAGTTTGTAGAGAGAAATAGGGTTTTGAGGTTTTTGAGTGAAAATACATATAGATTTGTATAATTGGGCTTAAATGTATCTGGGCTTGGGCCAGTTTTTTTAAATTTTATTTAATTATAATTAGGTTTAAATAATACAATAATTTTTAATTAATACTTATTCCAAAAAAAAAGGATATAATGGTCTTTTTTTACTCAATCAGCACTTAACATAAAATGTTTGGTAAACAAGAAAATACAATTTGCACTTAATCCAATCAGACCTCTTATCACAGTCAGACCTCTTACCCGAATCAGCACTTAACCAAAAAAATTGGTAAACGGCCCCTTATATATCTTATCTTTAGGCTTTACTTCTGTTTGAAATATATTGAGCCAGTTTTCTTAGACACTTGTAATGGAACAACATAGAATTAGATACGAGTTGTATTCTTATCTGCATTCATTTGACTCAGACAAACCATATGTAATAAATAATCGATTATACTTGATTTATTAAACACCAAATACTTGTTTACTCATTTAGCTTTGTCTAATTACTTGTAGAGGTGGGTAAAAATTTGGTCTGACCAAACTTTTAACTGGTCTTAATTAAACTTATTCTTGGTTGGTTGGTGGTTCTTTATTGAAATTGATCTCTTTTGAAAAAAATTAAAACAGATTATATAATTGGTCCCGTGATTAATGGTCTTTTTAACTAGATTTGTGAAAAATTAATATATATCTATACTTATAATAAATAAGTAACTTGAATGACACGTGTCATCTTCTGGTGAGATCGTTTTTTTTGTTTTCCAGCCTAAATACGTATCTAGACACAATTTACATTAATGGTACAATTAGACTCATTTGAACGTATCTGAACACAATTTACATTAACATTTCAATTATACCCATTTGATTGATCACTACTAAAAAATATGGTTTTTTCGACGGATACGAAAAACCCCTGCCGCTAAATGCAAATTCCGTCTGAAATTTATCAGTAATGTTCAAAGAAGTTTTATTTATATTTTCTTTCCTACCAAAAATATATATTTAAAAGAAGTTCAAAATTTCCGACGAATAATAATTTTTATAATAAAAAATTATATTCCGTCGGAATTTATTAAAAAAAGTTTTTTATTTTTTCTTATAAAACATATATATTTTTAAATAAATTCTAACGGGACATAACTTTTTATTAGAAAATTACAATCCGTCGGATTTTTTTTAAAACATATTTTTTTGGAAGGAAAAAGAATAAGAAAAGGTTTTCTTAAACATTTCCGACGGAGTATAATTAAATATAAAAATCAATCAAAATCAATCGTAAATTATAATTAATTAACGCTAATTAATTTATTTAAATAAATTAGACCAAATTTGTGACGGATTTGTGACGGTATTAAATAAGTAAAAAAATCAGTTACAAATCCGTCGGGGAAGTTGTAGAAATATAATTTTATTTATTTTTAAATTCAGTTACGGATTTGTGGGGGATTTGTGATGGACGTCGACAAAAGTTGACTTTTCTTGATTATACAGGGCTCTGAAATTTGAAAAGTTTTACTTCAGAATTATTTCAAGAGTACAAGTCCAAGTGTGAAGTCATTCTTTATAGTATACTTAAGAGTTATTTCAAGAGTACATGTCTGAAGACTCGTTCTAAATTTATAGCTAAGTTTAAATTCAATTTACTGATATAGCTTCTTTTCTAAATTTAATCTTATTCTAGGATTAACTTCATTTTAACTGATTATTGATATAGTTTTATTTCTAAATTCAAATCTGAAAAATTATTTTTCAGAATCATTTCAAGAGTACAAGTCTGCAGTAGAATCGTACTTTCGAAGATCATTCATATCTGTGAGATAAGTTCCTGACATGATTTAATTTTTCAAATTACCCCATGTAATACAAGAGATCGAACCTATTGTATATATATATATATATATATATATATAGAGAGAGAGAGAGAGAGAGAGAGAGAGAGTGCTTGATTCAAATGTTAACCAAGATTATTGTGTTAACTTTGTTAACCAAGCTCAACCAATGAAAATCCATTTTTATCTAGGTTCATATCCATCTCATAATATAATGACAAGTGTAAATATGTAATTTTAGTTTGTATGTAACTCACATATCATTAATTTAGAGTTACAAAATCAAAAAAATCCCATAATCGTTGTTGATTTACTATTGATCTTGTTTTTCTAGAATATTGGTTTATCTATCTATAATGTTCTTGAATTTGTGATTGTTAAAAGACACCCGATAGTAAAAAATTTCGATATCGTTCAAGCTAATATGAATAAACTCATTGGAAAACAACTCGACAATAGTGGAAAGGTTAAAATGGTTTACGATGACAATCGGACTTCGAGTTCCGAAATTGAAGATAATAATCAAAGCGTTTGTATTGGTAACGGATTAGCATGTTATTGTATTCGTTTTAATCGAAATTATGTTGATTATGACGTTTTTGTGTTTTTTATAGTTCATATTGTGTTGGTAGTTTTTTCTTTAATTATTACTACGAGCCCAATTCACATGTTCAAATGGAATGAGTTCATCATCAACTTAATTTGTTATGCAATCCAATTCTAATAACCATTCGGCTCCATCAGCTGTTTGTGATGCTTGACCTGCCCTAGACTGCAATTAGTGTTCATATACATTCAGGTGATGACCTGGGATGTAATCGGTCCATGATGTTCGGATGACTGCATCAGCGCCACAATTGCAATGCCTCACCATTTTTAGCTACTGAGTTGAGAGTGAATGAATACTTGATGGTGGAACAAGTTTGTGATGAAAAACAAGGTTATTTATAGGGAAATATAAGGGGACTTGTCACATCATCACCATTTAAGTACAATAAATTAGAAAAGTTCGAACTAGGAACGACAATAATAAATTTATGACCCGATACAACTACATTTTATCATGCAGATAGAGTTCCTTTAATTCTTTCTATTCCTTTCAAGTTTTTTTCAATGTCCTCTTCATTCTACCTAATGTTTCCTCCAGTATCCCGCATGTAAGTTCGAACCATGCATCATGATGAGTCCAGATTTCATACAAATATGATATGATCTTCATAGATTGTGATGAACATCAAAGTAGAAAGAATATTATCAAGATTGGAGAGAGAGAGAGAATTACATCAGCAAATCTTGTAATCTGATTAATGACCAAAAGCTTAATTACAATTACAAGGTAAATCCTATTTATACTAGGAAATTCTAAAGGCTAAACTATTAGAAGGAAAACTACACTAAGGAGAAACTTGAATACAACTTTTAAGCTCTAACTTGAACCCAACACATCATGGTTCAATTTTTCCTCCTCTTTGAGTTTCTTTCTTGTATCAGCAATCTAGCATTGTTGATTCTTAATTTGTTATTTTGCATCAGCAATCCATCTCTTCGTCTTGTTCATCTCATGTTCAATCTTCTCCTTTTTGGAACCAAGCTCTGCAGGTTTTTCATGTAGTATATCCAATTTGAGTTGGTAGTTCTTGATATCCTCCCTCGTATCATCGGGCATTTTTAGTGGTAGTTGACTTCTCCACCATTCTTCTCCCATCCTCTCCCACTCCTCGTCCGTCCTTGGACATTTAAAAAGGGTAGGGGGCGATAATACATTCTTACAGGTTATAGTTCAGTGTTTTAAGACAAATCTTGTAAGCTTTACTGACGAATATTGTCAGACACGATTTAACAAGTCTATGGAAAATTTATGACCGAATTTGACAACACAACGACAACTAAAAGGCA